CAGGAAGACCGTAAGCGCCCGCCCCTTGTCAATCAGTCACCATATAATTTTGGATTGGTTGTTGTGGTGAAGTTTTCCACCAATAGGAGAGATGTTGTGGTGTGTTTTTTTCTTTTGGCAAGCCTTTTCCGCCTGTAAGACCTGTCGCTAATGTCTGCATGCTATGTTTTCCTGTCTCATACAGCGCGATCGAGCGCCGAACGTGATCAAAATAAGCAGAAAAAAAGTATCGCGGACATAATTTATCATAACTCTGGTTTTATTTGGCCTATCAACACAATTTAAAAACTGGTATATAGGTTGAGGTCCTCACTTTTGAGATAAGTTGAAACGGAGAGTCAACGAGGCTCCGTCTTGCAGCTACATCCGGTTAAATATGTCATGTGACTTGAACGCACACATAGACACACACACACGCACACACACACACACACACACACACACACACACACACACACACACACACACTCAGAGTCTGGTTTTTAGCACCTGCAAAAACATGCTATTTACATATTTGACAAGAATGCAGAGGCTCCTTTTGCCCCTGAAAAAAATCAAATTTCAAACACAACTTGACTGGTCATTTCTCCAAAAGACAACCATGAAGCTCCATCCAAACCTGAAGCAGGCAGTTGGTGCATGTGTACAGTAACCTGAGGGGAGTGAGGTGAGTGCTTCTGAGGAGAACATGAGCAGTGAAGATTCACCTTGGAGCTAGAACAGAGACATGCACATGATTATACAGGGGCAGGGGCTCAAGTTTTTTCCAGTCGTTTATACAATATGGAAATTAATGTGAAATTAAAACACAAAGTATTAATAGAAAGGTAATGACTGTCCTGTGTAGGTGACAGTGATATCCAATAGGCTAGGCACTCACGAGGCTGGCTGTGGCAAGTGTAAGTGAAAGCAACACGCACTGGCAGGAAGAACAGCAAACGCCGATGAAGGAAAAGGGTCTTTGCAGTGATGGGCGTTAACAGAGAGGGCGATGGCCAGAGGACACAAATGGGACGGGGAGGCAGCACGTTGGGGGGGGGGGGGGGGGGGGAGACGCGACACGGCTCGGGCCCGCCAGTGCCCCAACGGGGTCCTAGTTTTCATTTTATTCTTTCAGTATCAGCAGCAACCTATTTTCACTGTTCACTTAATCTCCAAAGTAATGGGTCAGAGGTAATTTACAAACAAAGCTTCATCTGACTGAACTAAGCCGTCTCTGTAATCTGTTGTTCTTTCACCTGCTTTAAGTCTCCTTTATTCACTTGTCTCAAAGACAGACTGGTTTTTATTGTATTGTTAATTTCAGAATAATTTATCTACTGCTGCTTGTTACACTGGGCCGAGAACAAAGTAGGAGAAGATAGAGCTTTTCTTGTATTTGTGTATGTGTGTTTATTGTTTGAGTTTTATCTTGTTTTAGTGTTGGTCCCTCTAAAATCAGATGCTGCATCTTTAAGCGCCACCCTTACGTAAACTCACCTTTGTTTCAAACTACATTTGTTTAAACTTTAAAACTGCTGTTACATGTGATTTTTGCTCTAATGTTTCCTCTGTTTTTGGGAAAGTGTTTTTTTTTAAGAAATTAATTACATGTCAGTCAACATGTGTCTTTTCTTTGGGGTTGATATGGAGTTTACAGGTGACTGTGGCTTGAACATGATGAAGGTATAAGAGGGCAGTTTAATTAGTAACTATGGGTATAAAAACTGTGTGTGTGTGTGTGTGTGTGTGTGTGTGTGTGTGTGTGTGTGTGTGTGTGTGTGTGTGTGTGTGTGTGAGTGTCTGTATGTGTGTTCAGTGAAAATATGCTCCTCCCTCACTGGAATTATTAATTATTCTGGCACACATCGAAACACTTCCAGTAAACTACGTGCTTCAGCACCAACCTGGCCTGTGGCCAAATTTACCTGTTCAACAGGTATGTTGACCTAAAAGGATCAGTGTGTGTGTGTGTGTGTGTGTGTGTGTGTGTGTGTGTGTGTGTGTGTGTGTGTGTGTGTGTGTGTGTGTGTGTGTGTGTGTGTGTTTTAGCAGTACTTTGCTTGTTAAACACTGGGTGAGAAACCAGTCAGTGTTTCTGAGCTGAGTTTGATCAGAAATGATTAAGGTTAGCGTAATCAAAAGTTTATTAGATCATTAACTCTGTGTAAGTAAGAGCTGAACATGACCCAGTTAAATTTTGATTCTGAAGGTGCTGATTAAAAAAAAAATTGGAAGTATATTTGTTTTTGATCATTTGATGCCAGTAGATAAATCTGCTTCTTTTTTCAGCTGTAACCAAAATCCTGAATAAACTTATTTTTGTGTTAAAGAAAGTTATCAGGAGTAAAACAAGCATCAATAGCACATTTATTATCAAATTGTGAGGGTTCTGTCATGAAGACTCTGGAACCTGAAGGTGTGTCCCTCTCTGTGCTGCCCAACTTGCCCCCATTTTTACTCAGATCTGTACCATCTCTGGAGCTGTGTGTTCCCTCCTGATTCAAACACTTCACCATCATCCCGGTCTCCAAGAAACCCTCCATCACAGGGTTAAAGGACTACAGGCCCATCACCCTGACAACTTTGGTCATGGAAACCTTTGAGACACTGGTGTTGAACCAGCTGAAGGACATCACAGGCCCCCCTGCTGGTACCCCTTCAGTTTGTCTATCATGCAAACAGGTTGGTGGATGATGTAGCAAACATTACTGCAACAACTAAAGAAGTTCAACCAACCTCAGGAACTGCTGATCCATCCAGCTTCAAGTTCCTTGGGACCTTCATCAACAAGGATCTCACATGGTAGATAGATAGATAGATAGATAGATAGATAGATAGATAGATAGATAGATAGATAGATAGATAGATAGATAGTAGGGGTGTGCAAAGCAGCTGGTATTTGTATTTGTTGAATGGGGAGAAGTATTTCTATTTGTATTTGAGTAAAATTCAAAATGCGTGTAAAAATCCTTTTTTTTTTCTTTCCCCTTTTTTTTTTGGCATTGCAATTCTAAGTTATGTTTTGTATGTGAAAAAAGTCTTTTTTAATTATCCATTACAATAATCGTGAATATGCAATTTTGGTTGATGTTTTCCATAAATACAGCAATGAACATGTAACAAGGAACATAATTGAAAAGAAAATAACATAACAGCCATACCGTTCCCAACTGTACAGACATGACGGACTCCATCCAAACCTGCATGATGCAAAACTGCTTTCTGCAAATATTAATTATGCTTTGGTTAATCTGCAAAATGCCCGCCGGACTGTCTGGGACAGTCCATGCCACCATGAGGTAATCCACACACACACTCAAAATGGTGTTCAGTGTCATCGTACATTCACCGATAGGGTTCCTGCTACAAGCAACATTTCTGCTACATCTGACCAAACTCATCCCCTACCAGTCATGGGGCATGGACTGTCGATCCTTCTCCCAGTTGTTCCCTCAGTTAATCACATCCCAGTCTGCCAAACAATCAGACACCATAAGTCTGTCTACAAAGCATCTCGCTCAGTAAATTACAAAATCTTATTACCATTACTGACACTACAATTCCATCTTGGCCTCCCATCTGCTTTAAATTCGGTTTGCTGAATGTGAGATCTCTGTCAAACAAATCATTTATCTGTCAAAATTTTATTCTATCACAAAACCTTACCTGCTTCTTCATCACTGAGTCATGGCTTACCCCTGATGACCTCTCCCCTCTAATTCAAACCACTCCTCCAGGATACTTTCATTTTCATCAACCCAGGTTACATGCACGAGGTGGTTGGGTTGCTGTTATCTGCAAAAATGCCCTGAAGTGCTCCTCTATTTCTATAGGCCCCTTTTCATCTTTAGGGCCCGAGCGTAGCTGCTAAGCAGCTGCGAGAGCCCTATTATTCCCCAAGTGGTTTTTCTTTAGGGCCCGAGCGTAGCTGCTAAGCAGCTGCGAGAGCCCTCTTGTTCCTGCATGTTTCCTTCTTTCGTTATTAGGGCCCGAGCCAGCTGCAGAGCAGCCGGGCGTAGGCCCTATTATTCCCCAAGTGGTTTTTCTTTGTTTCTTTCTTTAGGGCCCGAGCGTAGCTGCTAAGCAGCTGCGAGAGCCCTCTTGTTCCTGTAGTTTCCTTCTTTTGTTATTATTAGGGCCCGAGCGTAGCTGCTAAGCAGCTGCGAGAGCCCTCTTGTTCCTGTAGTTTCCTTCTTTTGTTATTATTAGGGCCCGAGCGTAGCTGCTAAGCAGCTGCGAGAGCCCTATTATTCCCCAAGTGGTTTTTCTTTGTTTCTTTTTAGGGCCCGAGCGTAGCTGCTAAGCAGCTGCGAGAGCCCTATTATTCCCCAAGTGGTTTTTCTTTGTTTCTTTTTTCTTTTTCCTCCCCTTTGAACTGGAAAATGGCCCACTTCCCACTGGCGAAAACTCATGAAATTTGGCAGGACGACCGGGCCTGGTGAAAAATTTGATATTCTGAAGTCGCCCAAACAATACAATGCAAAATGGCTCCATAGCGCCCCCTAAGGTGAAAAATTCACCTGACGCCTGTACGCTTTGTCAAAATGACACAAAAATTGACACACACATGTATCTCAATAAGATCTACAAAAAAGTCAGTGCGGGCGTATCTGTCAAATGTACGGTTAAAGGGTTATTTGCATTTTTTGCCGATCCGCACACATTGGAATTTCGCTAACTCCTCCGAAGGCTTTCGTTCCACCGGCACCACATTTGCTCAGGCCAATCTACACCCCATGGCCATTAAAAGTTATTCAAATCATGACGCTGCACCCCACGGTTTAGGTTCTAGGGGGCGCCAAAGATAACCCTAAAATCCACATATTTAAAAGTCTTATAACTTTTTATTTTTGTCCTCACTGGCCTCCAAGTTTTCTAGGATGATGCAATGTCCAGCCATCAACACATTTGTGAAGGAATTTTTACTCCCCAAAAGAGCGCCCCCCCATGGCAGGAGAAAAAAGTCCATTTTTTCTTGTCCCCTAAGGTGAAAATACACATTGTTGAGTGTCACGCCTATACGCTTTGTCAAAATGACACAAAAATTGACACACACATGTAACTCAATAAGATCTACAAAAAAGTCAATGCGCGCGTATCTGTCAAATGTACAGTTAAAGGGTTATTCCGCATTTTTTGCCGATACGCACACATTGGAATTTCGCTAACTCCTCCGAAGGCTTTCGTTCCACCGGCACCACATTTGCTCAGGCCAATCTACACCCCATGGCCATTAAAAGTTATTCAAATCATGATGCTGCACCCCATGGTTTAGGTTCTAGGGGGCGCCAAAATAACCCAAAAATCCACATTCTTAAATGTTTTATAACTTTTTATTTTTGTCCTCACTGGCCTCCAAGTTTTCTAGGATGATGCAATGTCCAGCCATCAACACATTTGTGAAGGAATTTTTACTCCCCAAAAGAGCGCCCCCCCATGGTAGGAGAAAAAAGTCAATTTTTTCTTGTCCCCTTACATGAAAATACACATTGTTGAGTGTCACGCCTGAACGCTTTGTCATATTGACACAAAAATTGACAATCATGTGTATCTCAATTAGATCTACGAAAAAGTCAAAGAGCGCGTATCTGTATAATGTACGGTTAAAGGGCTATTTTGCATTTTTGCCGATTCGCACACATTGGAATGTGGCTATCTCCTCCTAAGGCTTTCGTCCCACCGATACCAAATTTGCTCAGGGCAATCTACACCCCATGCCCATTCAAAGTTGTAAAAATCATGACGCTGCACCCCACGGTTTACGTTCTAGGGGGCGCCAAAGATGACCCAAAAATCCACATTCTTAAAAGTCATTTTGGCCACTGCAGGAGTACAGAGTACTGCAGTTCTAGGGGGCGCCAAAGATGACCCAAAAATCCACATTCTTAAAAGTCTTTTTGGCCACTGCAGGAGTACAGAGTACTGCAGGATACACACACATATACACACACGCCAACATACACACACACACACACACACACACACACACACACACACACACACACACAAACCAGACACACACACACACTCAGAGTCTGTTTTTTAGCACCTGCAAAAACATGCTGTTTACATATTTGACAAGAATGCAGAGGCTTCCTTTTGCCCCTGAAAAAAATCAAATTTCAAACACAACTTGACTGTTCATTTCTCCAAAAGACAACCATGAAGCTCCATTTCAAACCTGAAGCAGATAGTTGGTGCATGTGTACAGTAACCTGAGGGGAGTGAGGTGACTATTTCTGAGGAGAACATGAGCAGTGAAGATTCACCTTGGAGCTAGAACAGGGACGTGCACATGATTATACAGGGGCAGGGGCTCAAGTTTTTTCCAGTCATTTATACAATATGGAAATTAATGTGAAATTAAACCACAAATATGTGTGATGAACTGTTTTTAAAACTTAAACTTCAAATAAAAATTGTAAACTTCAAAACATATGCAAATTTTTAACAAAGAACATAGTAATTTACCTCTATTTACATCAAAATGCAGGCAATGGCCCAGGCGTTCTTTGTAAAATTATTTACAAAACACTGTATAGTCTCACAAATGTCACTTTTTATTTATGCCACTACAAAAAAACATGATGTAAATGATGCATGATGTAAAACATGATGTAAAAAACTTGTGTAGATCCTCCTCTATGTCAGTCCATGTGTAATTTTTCCATAATTCTTTGTTTTTTGCAGCATTTTTGTTAGTGTAACTGCAGATTGTGCTGACAGTGTCTATGGCACAAAAAAAAAAAAAAATTAAAATGCCTCAACATGAACCCCTGGTGGTCTCTGAGGGTGAAACCTGCTAACTGCTGCAGCTCTGTCAGCTTCAGTCTCCCATGCAGAGCTCTGAGCGCATGTGTGGCTCTGCACCTTTAGCAGCGTTGCTAACTCCTCAGTAAGGAAAGCCTGCTTCATGTCAGAGTCTCTAAACTCCAGAAGAAGTCGATAAAAGTCCCTTTCTTTCTAAAAAAAAGTCGTTAGGGGGTCTGAAAAGTCATTGAATCTAACAACAAAGTCGCTAGGTTTGCAACTACGTGTCCCAGACTGCATCCCTGCTGAGAGTCCCTCCCTCCCTTCTCATGTTGCAGGAAGAACGTAAGCGCCCGCCCCTTGTCAATCAGTCACCATATAATTTTGGATTGGTTGTTGTGGTGAAGTTTTCCACCAATAGGAGAGATGTTGTGGTGTGTTTTTTTTTCTTTTGGCAAGCCTTTTCCGCCTGTAAGACCTGTCGCTAATGTCTGCATGCTATGTTTTCCTGTCTCATACAGCGCGATCGAGCGCCGAACGTGATCAAAATAAGCAGAAAACAAGTATCGCGGACATAATTTATCATAACTCTGGTTTTATTTGGCCTATCAACACAATTTAAAAACTGGTATATAGGTTGAGGTCCTCACTTTTGAGATAAGTTGAAACGGAGAGTCAACAAGGCTCCGTCTTGCAGCTACATCCGGTTAAATATGTCATGTGACTTGAACGCACACACAGACACACACACACGCACACACACACACACACACACACACACACACACACTCAGAGTCTGGTTTTTAGCACCTGCAAAAACATGCTATTTACATATTTGACAAGAATGCAGAGGCTCCTTTTGCCCCTGAAAAAAATCAAATTTCAAACACAACTTGACTGGTCATTTCTCCAAAAGACAACCATGAAGCTCCATCCAAACCTGAAGCAGGCAGTTGGTGCATGTGTACAGTAACCTGAGGGGAGTGAGGTGAGTGCTTCTGAGGAGAACATGAGCAGTGAAGATTCACCTTGGAGCTAGAACAGAGACATGCACATGATTATACAGGGGCAGGGGCTCAAGTTTTTTCCAGTCGTTTATACAATATGGAAATTAATGTGAAATTAAACACAAAGTATTAATAGAAAGGTAATGACTGTCCTGTGTAGGTGACAGTGATATCCAATAGGCTAGGCACTCACGAGGCTGGCTGTGGCAAGTGTAAGTGAAAGCAACACACACTGGCAGGAAGAACAGCAAACGCCGATGAAGGAAAAGGGTCTTTGCAGTGATGGGTGTTAACAGAGAGGGCGATGGCCAGAGGACACAAATGGGACGGGGAGGCAGCACGTTGGGGGGGGGGGGGGGGGAAGCGACACGGCTCGGGCCCGCCAGTGCCCCAACGGGGTCCAAGTTAGGGCCCGAGCCAGCTGCAGAGCAGCCGGGCGTAGAGCCCTATTATTCCTGTATAGGTTTTTCTTTCTTCTTTCTTTCTTTTTTCTTTCTTTCTTTAGGGCCCGAGCCAGCTGCAGAGCAGCCGGGCGTAGGCCCTATTATTCCCAAGTGGTTTTTCTTTGTTTCTTTCTTTCTTTTTTCTTTTTCCTCCCCTTTGAACTGGAAAATGGCCCACTTCCCACTGGCGAAAACTCATGAAATTTGGCAGGACGACCGGGCCTGGTGAAAAATTTGATATTCTGAAGTCGCCAAAACAATAAAATGCAAAATGGCTCCATAGCGCCCCCTAAGGTGGAAATTCACACTATTGACTGTCACGCCTGTACGCTTTGTCATATTGACACAAAAATTGACACACATATGTATCTCAATAAGATCTACAAAAAAGTCAGTGCGGCCGTATCTGTCAAAATTACGGTTAAAGGGTTATTCCGCATTTTTTGCCGATCCGCACACATTGGAATTTCGCTAACTCCTCCGAAGGCTTTCGTTCCACCGGCACCACATTTGCTCAGGCCAATCTACACCCCGTGGCCATTAAAAGTTATCAAAATCATGACGCTGCACCCCAAGGTTTAGGTTCTAGGGGGCGCCAAAGATAACACTAAAATCCACATATTTAAAAGTCTTATAACTTTTTATTTTTGTCCTCACTGGCCTCCAAGTTTTCTAGGATGATGCAATGTCCAGCCATCAACACATTTGTGAAGGAATTTTTACTTCCCAAAAGAGCGCCCCCCATGGCAGGAGAAAAAAGTCCATTTTTTCTTGTCCCCTAAGGTGAAAATACACATTGTTGAGTGTCACGCCTATACGCTTTGTCAAAATGACACAAAAATTGACACACACATGTAACTCAATAAGATCTACGAAAAAGTCAATGCGCGCGTATCTGTCAAATGTACGGTTAAAGGGTTATTCCGCATTTTTTGCCGATCCGCACACATTGGAATGTGGCTAACTCCTCCTAAGGCTTTCGTTCCACCGGCACCACATTTGCTCAGGCCAATCTACACCCCATGGCCATTAAAAGTTATCAAAATCATGACGCTGCACCCCACGGTTTAGGTTCTAGGGGGCGCCAAAGATAACACTAAAATCCACATATTTAAAAGTCTTATAACTTTTTATTTTTGTCCTCACTGGCCTCCAAGTTTTCTAGGATGATGCAATGTCCAGCCATCAACACATTTGTGAAGGAATTTTTACTCCCCAAAAGAGCGCCCCCCATGGCAGGAGAAAAAAGTCCATTTTTTCTTGTCCCTTAAGGTGAAAATACATATTGTTGAGATTCACGCCTATACGCTTTGTCATATTGACACAAAATTTGACAATCACGTGCCTTGCCTGGTATCATTTTTTTCAGCACAACCTCACCTGTGCGAATTTACAGTTATTTTATCATGTTGACATACTGAATTTACACAATGGACCCAAATTCACACACAAAACATAAAATCCGAGTGGAAAAAAGTAACATTTTTACTGTGAAAACCACAAATATGTGTGATGAACTGTTTTTAAAACTTAAACTTCAAATACAAATTGTAAACTTCAAAACATATGCAAATTTTTAACAAAGAACATAGTGATTTACCTCTATTTACATCAAAATGCAGGCAATGGCCCAGGCGTTCTTTGTAAAATTATTTACAAAACACTGTATAGTCTCACAAATGTCACTTTTTATTTATGCCACTACAAAAAAACATGATGTAAATGATGCATGATGTAAAACATGATGTAAAAAACTTGTGTAGATCCTCCTCTATGTCAGTCCATGTGTAATTTTTCCATAATTCTTTGTTTTTTGCAGCATTTTTGTTAGTGTAACTGCAGATTGTGCTGACAGTGTCTATGGCACAAAAAAAAAAAATAAAATGCCTCAACATGAACCCCTGGTGGTCTCTGAGGGTGAAACCTGCTAACTGCTGCAGCTCTGTCAGCTTCAGTCTCCCATGCAGAGCTCTGAGCGCATGTGTGGCTCTGCACCCTTAGCAGCGTTGCTAACTCCTCAGTAAGGAAAGCCTGCTTCATGTCAGAGTCTCTAAACTCCAGAAGAAGTCGATAAAAGTCCCTTTCTTTCTAAAAAAAAGTCGTTAGAGGGTCTGAAAAGTCATTGAATCTAACAACAAAGTCGCTAGTCTTGCAACTACGTGTCCCAGACTGCATCCCTGCTGAGAGTCCCTCCCTCCCTTCTCATGTTGCAGGAAGAACGTAAGCGCCCGCCCCTTGTCAATCAGTCACCATATAATTTTGGATTGGTTGTTGTGGTGAAGTTTTCCACCAATAGGAGAGATGTTGTGGTGTGTTTTTTTTTTCTTTTGGCAAGCCTTTTCCGCCTGTAAGACCTGTCGCTAATGTCTGCATGCTATGTTTTCCTGTCTCATACAGCGCGATCGAGCGCCGAACGTGATCAAAATAAGCAGAAAAAAAGTATCGCGGACATAATTTATCATAACTCTGGTTTTATTTGGCCTATCAACACAATTTAAAAACTGGTATATAGGTTGAGGTCCTCACTTTTGAGATAAGTTGAAACGGAGAGTCAACGAGGCTCCGTCTTGCAGCTACATCCGATTAAATATGTCATGTGACTTGAACGCACACACAGACACACACACACACACACACACACACACACACACACACACACACACTCAGAGTCTGGTTTTTAGCACCTGCAAAAACATGCTATTTACATATTTGACAAGAATGCAGAGGCTCCTTTTGCCCCTGAAAAAAATCAAATTTCAAACACAACTTGACTGGTCATTTCTCCAAAAAAAACCATGAAGCTCCATCCAAACCTGAAGCAGGCAGTTGGTGCATGTGTACAGTAACCTGAGGGGAGTGAGGTGAGTGCTTCTGAGGAGAACATGAGCAGTGAAGATTCACCTTGGAGCTAGAACAGAGACATGCACATGATTATACAGGGGCAGGGGCTCAAGTTTTTTCCAGTCGTTTATACAATATGGAAATTAATGTGAAATTAAAACACAAAGTATTAATAGAAAGGTAATGACTGTCCTGTGTAGGTGACAGTGATATCCAATAGGCTAGGCACTCACGAGGCTGGCTGTGGCAAGTGTAAGTGAAAGCAACACGCACTGGCAGGAAGAACAGCAAACGCCGATGAAGGAAAAGGGTCTTTGCAGTGATGGGCGTTACCAGAGAGGGCGATGGCCAGAGGACACAAATGGGACGGGGAGGCATCACGTTGGGGGGGGGACGCGACACGGCTCGGGCCCGCCAGTGCCCCAACGGGGTCCTAGTTTCTTTTTCCTCCCCTTTGAACTGGAAAATGGCCCACTTCCCACTGGCGAAAACTCATGAAATTTGGCAGGACGACCGGGCCTGGTGAAAAATTTGATATTCTGAAGTCGCCCAAACAATACAATGCAAAATGGCTCCATAGCGCCCCCTAAGGTGAAAAATTCACCTGACGCCTGTACGCTTTGTCAAAATGACACAAAAATTGACACACACATGTATCTCAATAAGATCTACAAAAAAGTCAGTGCGGGCGTATCTGTCAAATGTACGGTTAAAGGGTTATTGCGCATTTTTTGCCGATCCGCACACATTGGAATTTCGCTAACTCCTCCGAAGGCTTTCGTTCCACCGGCACCACATTTGCTCAGGCCAATCTACACCCCATGGCCATTAAAAGTTATTCAAATCATGACGCTGCACCCCACGGTTTAGGTTCTAGGGGGCGCCAAAGATAACCCTAAAATCCACATATTTCAAAGTCTTATAACTTTTTATTTTTGTCCTCACTGGCCTCCAAGTTTTCTAGGATGATGCAATGTCCAGCCATCAACACATTTGTGAAGGAATTTTTACTCCCCAAAAGAGCGCCCCCCCATGGCAGGAGAAAAAAGTCCATTTTTTCTTGTCCCCTAAGGTGAAAATACACATTGTTGAGTGTCACGCCTATACGCTTTGTCAAAATGACACAAAAATTGACACACACATGTAACTCAATAAGATCTACAAAAAAGTCAATGCGCGCGTATCTGTCAAATGTACAGTTAAAGGGTTATTCCGCATTTTTTGCCGATACGCACACATTGGAATTTCGCTAACTCCTCCGAAGGCTTTCGTTCCACCGGCACCACATTTGCTCAGGCCAATCTACACCCCATGGCCATTAAAAGTTATTCAAATCATGATGCTGCACCCCATGGTTTAGGTTCTAGGGGGCGCCAAAAATAACCCAAAAATCCACATTCTTAAATG